ATGCATATCCGACATAGATCCACTGGCCTTTCTGAGCCACGAGGAAGCCCGTGGAAGATCCTTCAGGTGAGACAAGGAAACCTCAAAGGCATGTTTCAGTTCTCTGGCCCCAAGACCGTCCCCCTGGATGAGCTCTGGATCCGTGGCCTGCCCCCACTCCTTCGCATATCGCTTGAGAGTTTCCGCAGCACGGGCTAAGGGGTCCTTGTCAGGGTAGAGTGCCCACCCAACATCCAGAGCGCCTCCGAGAAACCCAAGAACTCTCGCTCCAGATCGCCGGAGGAAGTGGATCTCCTTCGGGGTATGCCCAAGAACTTCACCGCCGTACTGCGCCGACGCCTGGATTCCTGAAAAATACACGCGGGCCTTCAAGTGCCTGGCCCCCTTTCATTTTCATGAGCTTCTGGACCCTGGGGCTGACAGTGTCAAAACGTTTGCGCCTATTGCGACCGTGCCCAGGTTGTTGACGATGTTTGCCTGGGGCAAAATCCACGCCAATATTTTTTGGGGCCACTTCGCTCTTCCCTGCCAGTTCTCCAAGACATGCCTTGCATGCCTCCACCAGGGCCTGGGAAGATCCCGACACCGTGAGCTTGTCCATGGCCAGCGGGACTCCCATCAGCTCATGGATGAGCTGCGCAAGGACCGATGCCCCGTTATACATCATCCTGACACAATCGAAGAAGTGCGCTGATGCTGTATTGACCCCGAAATCGTCGATGTGCACTGTGGGAGTCGCTAATCCAGTCCCTGGTGGTATTGCTGTCGTCGTCGACTCTAGCCGCTTGAGGCTATATTGGATGGCTGCAACAGGATATCCAACCTCATGTGCCACAGTCCACAGTCGATGGTGCGAGGTATGCTCGTAGAATTGCCTCAAATCCCATAGAACTGATAGGATGTGGAACCCGTCCCTGGCTAGAGCTTCTATTCGAACCGCTTGTCTCCAAACTGCATCTAAGGGGGCCCCTGCCAGGTCCCATGCTGAAACATGGGTGATCAAGAATATCAATTTCCCACTGTCGCGCCTGATGTGCAACTGTCTTGCCGTGTAACCTGACAGTGCTAGTAACAAAACCAATAGGGCGACGTCCTATGACGGGTTTTCTGAAAAGACTGATGATGACCTGCTGCAGATTTGACGGTGCGTTGGCGACCATGTCCATCAATGTGAAGACACCACTCAGCGCCTCCAACGCGGCATCGCACAACAGGGCAAAACGACGTGGATTTATCCCATCTATTGCGATGGTCCTCTCCTTGAACCTGGCCGATATCCTGCGAAGGAGTCTTCCCTCACACCTAGGTCGAACCAAAGCAGGGCCTTCAAAATCAGGGCTCTTGTCCTGTCTGGTGTGCCAGGCCTGCTTCCAAATCTCCTCCTGCTGCAATAGAATAGATTCCATGGGTGCCGACGTTGGTCCATCACTTCTGATCTAGTTTTTTTTCCTGACAGCTGGGCTTGACTTTGCTGTAGCTGTGAGCCTTACTTGCCCCTGAAGAGAGGGCCTCCTCGCACCGCAGTCGCCAATCTTCTCGTCTACGTTTGCTAGTCTCCCGAACCTCCATCTTTTCCACAATACAAAGGAGCTCGATCCACGCAGAAAGCTCAACATCAAGCTGTGGGTTGGGGTTCGCAAGATCTGTTCCAAACTTCGCAAACAATATCTGGAGTACAACAATCCAAGGTTCTGCTCGTAAGCCAAGATGAGTACGGAGAGGCCCTCCACGGTGAAGGCGTCTGCGGGTACTAGCCATAAGACTCCAGTAATACTCAGGTTCATTGCCCAAGACAGCCTTCCTACGATGGTGCCTCAATTCCTGGATGCGGTTCCTAACCCAGTGGAAGGCTACAGCAGGCAATTTCTTCGCGCTCTCCCTGGTAACGAGGCTTTGCCTAAGGGGTCTCCTCTTGGCCAGCATGCTGCCCCCCCAGGCCTGGCTTTGGGGTGGGGTTCAGACTGAGAGACCTGCTGTAGCTCCCTCCAAGCTTTCTCAACCCAGTCCTGATACGCCTCGTCGAGGAGTGCTTGGCCCTCAATTCTGCGGGCGCCAATGAGCGTGTAGAGACACCCGCTGGTTCTATGCGCCTCCAGAAACTCGCCCACTCGAACTCCGATCTCATGGTAGTCAGGGGGCTCTCGTGCTGGGCCCATGGCTGGCTTCGTGGGAACTGCGGCGTGCTTTGTCAAAATCTGAACCAGGACATCCTTCACAGCGCGCGAGAGGGTAACCCTGACAGGTTTGTGGGGCCCTGGTGCCAACGCATTGTCCGTCCCCACCGAAGCGTCCGAGGCCACCGAGTCCAGGGAAAGGCTAAGGAGGCAGAAATCGAGGTTGCTCGAGCTCCCCCCTCCGTCGAACACATGAGAATCGACCGCTGGATCAAATCGAAACCCTCCGTGAATCTCTGCCAAGGGAAAGCCTGCACGTACTTCACTGGGCTCCATATTCCAATTACCTCCACAGACAAACGGCATCCCCTGTGCGGCTATATGTT